ACTTTTTAAAATGCGGCAACTCATTCAAACTTTATAATTACTTCATGGGCCAAACGGCGCCGTGGGTCGACTTGGCCGTGGCCCCAGCTTGTGACCGCAAGTCCGCATAGGCTCTGTTTCCCGGTCATTGCTGGGGGCCCCCACTTCCTTTTAGCCACACCAGCTCGTGAACTGAAATGTACCTTTCCGATGCAGTGACAATCTGCCACAAATCAGTGTGGATTGGAAACGAAATCAGCTAACTGGAAAGGAAATAAGCCCAAACTCGGGTTTGGATCCCATCTAGTATGGAGAGGCTGAGGGGGCGGGCAGGTGGACCCCTCACGCCCATTATTTTGTCCATCGTAAGATACATAAAGGGCAAGAGGATTTGATACCGGGGGACAGGAGGAATAGCTGTTGTCAGAATTTTCTCTTGCGCGGCACTTGGCATGCTTGTTAGCATCCCTAGCTTAGAGTGAGTTTTCCGTGTATTTAGTCTGAGATGGGACTTTATTATTTTTTTTAACATATCTGTACTTGTGAGTAAATGGCACTCATTTGTTTCTTTGTCTATTTATTTATTGGACCAAATCGCCCCAACAACTCCTCGGTAGTCGTGTGTAATCAGATTTGGTTTTTTAACATGCTTTTAAAGTAAAGAAATAAATACAATCGAGGCTTGTAAAAGGTGATCATTAGGAAATGGGCCTCGGCCCCATAACTTTAAAGTAATAGCCCCATTACAGAGAGGGGCGCTCATCTTTTAACTGCTCCTCGCACTTGCACTGTGAGGTGGAGCGGCTCTGCAGGCAGGCTGGGCATCTCGGTAAAAGCTTTTCCAGCAGCCACTTAACCTCCACTTACGAAGAAATAAAGCTGAATTGATGCTGATTTGGGCCTGCTTTGGGGGATATTTTTGCTCCATAAAAGCCCTTTTGCTTGCAATTTGCTGAGCTGCCCTGTCACATGAGAAAGGGCTGCTGTTGATAAAGATAAAGCTTTATGGCCACGATATTTGCTGCTAACAGCAACCTAATGCAGCATTTTCATTTTTGTGCAATTAATGTTAACGTCTGCTACGAAAATTGTCATTAAATACCATTTTAAAATCCATTCAATTTGCATATGCAAAGCCCATTTACCATCACAGAAGATACAGCCGGCACTTCATCACGTCCTTCCCCTGGAATTGTAGCCACTCGGTTTTATAGCAATTTAAGATTTTATATTGAAAGCCAGATGATAATGGATGTCCTTTCTGAGCCCAGCTGACTTAAACTTTTCCATTGTACATGGAATAATGTAGCCCCAGGACCGGAAGCTGTGGGTGTTCACACTGTACCTCAGTCCCGAGGAGGCAAGGTGTGGAAGAAAGAGCACTGGACAGGGAGTCTGCCCGCCTGGCTCTAGATCTGGCTCTTGTCTGGTCACAACTTGCTTGGGAAAGTCTCTTCACCTCTCTGAACTTCTGCTTTCTTGTTTTATTTATCTTAGGATTTTTTAAAGATTTTATTTATTTATTTCAGAGAAAGAGAGAGAGGATGAGAAGCAAAGGGAGAGGGACATGTAGGCTCCGCACTGAGCGTGGAGCCTGCCACGGGGCTCCATCTCATGACCCTGAGAGCGTGACCTGAGCTGAAATCAAGAATCAGATGCCCAACCGACTGAGCCACCCAGGTGCCCCTGTTTATTTTATGTTTTATCTTTTTTCAAGGAAGCTCTATGCACAACATGGGGCTTGAGCTCACGACCCCAGGATCAAGAGTCACAGGCTCTACTGACTGAGCCGGCCAGGAGCCCCTGTTTTCTTGTTTTAAATAAGGGCTTTGAACTAGGTGATCACTAATGTCCTCTGTCTTCTAAAATTTTTTCTTAAAGATTCATTTATTTAGAGAGAGAGAGAGAGAGAGAGAGAGAGAGAATGGTGGGGAGGGGCATAAGGGGAGGGAGCCCTGATGGGGGACTTGATCTCACAGCCCTGGGATCACCACCTGAGCAGAAACCAAGAGTCAGATCCAACGGACTGCACCACCCAGGTGCCCCTACAATTTTGTTTTTAAATATAAGCACATCAGGTTGAGAACCCATTTCGGGGAGGTCAGTTCATTTCTCCATGCCTAAGCCGGGCAAGTAACCATGTAGACCTCCTGCACGGGGCTTTAAAGACAAGGAAAGGAAATTGACATAGAGACCAAACACAATCCGGGAATCCTGGAATGCCGAGTTACTGCCGTAACAGCCTACTTACAGATGAGGAACTGGAAGCCTTGGGAGGGAAACAGCTGGGGACCATGCTGGGACTAGAACCCCAGGCAGACTCCTAGCCAGAGGGGCTCCCAGAAACCATGCTGTCTTGAAGACACTGGTGACCAGCCCTGACTAATCTAGTGATCTGATGCATAGTGGGACTCTCTCTCCCTCTGCACTCCAGGCAGTCTTGGGAAACCTTGCCTTGCCCTGGAGGGACTGACTGGGGGCATTACTTCAAAGGTGGGCGAAGGATGGTGTGCAGACAATTAGCTAATCCAGTCCAGAAATGAATTTCCAATGTGTCTCCAGTGTCACAGTCCAGGTTTTGAGGGTTGATGAATAGAAATGCATTTCAGGTGAGAGATGTCTGCAGGAAATGGGAGAGCTTACCGCAGAGATGATGCTGATCTGAACTCTGGGAACAAGTAGGTTTTACTAGGTAGGGCCGTGAGAAAGGGCAGGGGAAAAAGCCTACAAAAGTATGGTGGCTCACTCTGTGGAAAACACTCTGGCAGTTCCTAAAAAAACTTAATGTAGAATCCCATATGACCCAGCAATTCCACTCGTGGGCAGATGCCCCAAAAGAATTGAAAGCAGGGGCTCAAATAGATATTTGCACACCCATGTTCAGAGCAGCACTATTCACAATAGCCAAAAGGTGGAAATAACCCAAATGTCCATCAGTGGATAAATGGATAAACAAAACATGGTGTATACATACAATGGGATATTATTCTACCTTAAAAAGGAAGGAAATTCGGACACTTGCTACAGACATGGATGAACCTCGAAGACGTTATGGTAAATGAAATAAGCCAGACACAAAAGAGCAAATATTGCATGATTCCATTTAGACGAGGCATCTACAGTCTCAAAATCATAGAGACAGAAAGCAGAGTGCTGGCTACCAAGAGCTGAGGGGAGGGAGGAACAGAGAGATACCGTTTACCGGGCGGGGGCAGAGTTTCAGTCTGGGATGAAGAGAAAGTTCTGGAGACAGATGGTCGTGGTGGTTCACAGCGATGTGAATTTACTTAATGCCACTGAACTGGACATTTGAAAATAGTACATCCTACCACAATAAAAAAAATGATTAGAAGAAAAATTAAAAATAAAGAAGGAACCACCAA